GTGTGTGTGTGTGTGTGTGTGTGTGTGTGTGTGTGTGTTCACTAGATATAAGTGTGAGTTTTGCTCTTGATGCTCCATTGAAACAGTATTGGTGGATAAATCTGGGTGGCCCTCCTGTAGACCCTCCACATCTGTGCTCCCCCACTCATAGAGGCCTCTCTGCCTGGCTGCCTCTCCTCATTCAGAAAAGCTGCAAGAATGAGTTCAGATCTCTTTAGGACTTTCCAACGTCGACATTTTCAGCAACATCTGCATATTAATGGGTGACAAAAAATATTGCTGTTTATTTAAAAAAATAATATTAAAGTCAAAACTATGTCAGTATAGGTCTTGAAATGACTGACGGATGATCTTTGGGGTTCAGAAACAGTGCAGTATTGAGCATTTAGTTTTAAAGTTGAAGGTAAATACACAAAGGCAAGATCTTGCAGATTACCATCTAAGCAAACTTCAGCAGATTTAAGCAAACCTTTGAAATGTCACAAAAAATGAAATGTAAATAAGGAGCAGTTTAGTCAGCTGCGTAGAACAGGATAAATTAACTTCTTCAACAAAGAACAAAGCAAAACCACTTTATTTAAGGGTTTTCACCTCGAGCAAGCATAAAAAAACATTTCAGAGTTTGGGAAATGTTTTCTGCATAATTTATAAAACACACAATACAGTATATACCTTTTTTGTTTCTAAATAAAAGCGGCAGACTTTTTTGTTTGTCTCAACCTCTAAAACGTCTTGGGAATTGAAAAATGGTCTATCCCAGCAAACATGTCTTTATAACAAAAATATTTGAACTGATTTTGACCAGAAAACTGAAGATCAGAACAGTCATTTGTCCCAGGCTGACCATATACCCGAAGGGCCTTTATATGCTAGATGATGATTCCCAAAGGATGTAAAAAAATGAGTGGCAAGTACCAAGAGTTGTGTCATTCTTGTCAAAAATATTGGGGGAAGGTTTTCAAATTTGCAGGGATCCAGCCTTGTTCTGATAGGTCCTGCAGGCTGTGGAGATTGTATCAAGGTTTTCATTCAATGTTTGTGTGTGTGTGTGTGTGTGTGTGTGGTTATGTGGGTTGGTTGGGGTGTTTTCCAGATATGGTGCTTTGCATTTTACAAAATAGGTCATGGTGATCTTTTGCCTTGCA